ATTTCTACTATCACTCCCTTCAATACATCTTGTCACATGATAAACCAGCGTTTATTTCCCCATAACAATAACAAGTTCAACATTCATTCCTTATATTTACATTGGTTTATCTTTTGTGATAAAATACGCTAAAATGTTCTATTTTTTAATTGTTCAAATACCCGAAACCGATTCACCGATATCTGTCAATCAAGTTCACCGACCTGCCCCTAACAATATAGTTCTATAAATAGACAGTCTTATTTGGATGATAGAATTATCAAATATTTAATATTCCATTGAAATATTAAGAACAATTGTAAATTTAAATATATTGTAAAATTAAATTAGACTCTAGGTATAAAACTTGGGTCAATCCTTGTTTTCATTTTCGATGTATTCATACGCCTTATTGTCACGTGACAAACTACAGTTATTGGAAAATAAACGCCGCTTTGGCTAACTTGTTTATTGAAGGGAGTGATAGTAGAAATGTAAATATTAAGGGAATGAATATTGGGACTATCATCACTTACGTATTTATTAAAATACAGTCAAGAGTAGACAACTTTATGCCTTTAATGCTGATTAACATTAAAAAAGACTAAAGTGGTTTTGTGCTGTCATGAAATTAAAAGAAAAACTTGAAACCTAAAGAAGCTGCTTACCAATTTTAAACCGATATCATCTTGTTTAAATTGTGAATTAGTTTTACTAGGTAATGTCCAACCACTACGTCTATCTGGCTGAAAATCTTGTTGTAATAACTGAGCATACATAAACCTTGTAAACTTAACCTGGAAAACAATTAAAATAAAAATTGATGTTAAAATGTAAAAATAACGTAACACCATTATTGTCAACCAATTCGCAAAGATTACAGCTTTAATGACCTGATGTATCTAGTATCCTTATTACAAGTAAATATTTCAAAATTTGTAAAAACCGTAAAGCTTACCCGATAAATCACCATGTCTTCTTGAGGGAAATTTTTCATTGATCGACATGCCTGAAATATCAAAGTTGAGTAGTTTCATTTTTTTTGTTAAAACACAGTCATCTGATTTTTAAATCCTTGAGGACATACTTGGTTCTATATTCTCCTTTCAATATGGGATTAAGAGTTCTAACTAGTTTTGAAGACATCATCCTTGGCAAATATAAAAATAGTTCATTTCAAGGACTTATGACCAGTTAACATACCTCTTAATCAAGTTAGAGTAACAACTAACCTTCAAGTCTACAGGATCTCTATAATAAAAAGCTTCAACAGCTGGTGCTACTAGACTAGGATTCTGTTCTAAAACACTAGCAACTGAGGTAGGAATGTAACAATTTGCATAATGTAAATTCTGACTAGCTTTTTCTGGAAATCTGCAAAAAAGAAAAAGAAACTATTTACAGACAGCTTAAAGTTCAGTTATCAACATTTTTAGGTTTTGTTTACTAATTGATTTGCTCTTTTGGAGTTCATATTGGTAATATACAACTCCAAATATGACATTTTGTTGCTATGGAGTAAAAAAGTCTACAGAACACCTTTAATGGAAGGATGTCCACTTTGTAACCCTGCAGATAAAAACGAAAAAAAAAGTTCTACATTTCTAACAAATTGACAAAGAGAAAGCTGAATGTTTACGTTTGTAGTTTTTTCATGATGGCATTTTGTATTTCTGGTTTAGCTTTAGTTAAATGTTCATGTTCTCTGACTATATTGACAGCGTCTGGTACACTAGGTGTAAATAATGGTAAATCTGACATCTCATTGGCGTTCTCAGGTATAGGTATAATATGTAGTTCTCCATTGTATATAAATATCTAAATAAAAAAATACAAATATGAAATGAAAGCCTTTCTCTTCTGATGGTCAAGAGCTCATTATCAGCAAGTAATGCTTGTTTGCATGACTAGCAATAAAAAGCAACAGAACAATATCAACCCTTTCAACCCTAGCGACCAATATATCGGCCACTCAATATATACCCGAGCAGCCGGTATACCGGCCGTTGCTAAGTGATGTCATACAATTCAGGGTATATGGCGTTATATTTTATTTAAACTCAGGATTCAAAGGGTAAACAAACTTACTCTGTTTTCAGCAGTATCTGGATCTAACCATTTGGGTAATACTTCAGCTGCCTCTATTAATATAAACTCTCCATCATTATCATGTATACTGAAATATACAATGACAGTTTATCAATACCAGTATATCTTTTGACAGTATCAATTGTGAGGGTACCACTATAAATCCTTGTAAACTTAACAGAACTTCATGATAAAATAGATTTTTAAATTTTGATGAGTTGAAGATGGAATCTTTGAGATTAAAGTAAGAAGACTGGAAGTCCATTGGAAGTCATGTTAAATATCCCATTCGGATCTTAAAATCAACAAGAATCTTTTATTGACAAATACAAATATCTTATGTATGAGGATTTCTCTGCACTCATGTAAACTCATTATTTCATGTAGAACTTAGTAGAAAGTAGATCGTGTACCAGTCATTTAATTTAGCTTTTGAATCGAGTTCCTATTAATTAACTGATAAATCCTTATACATCATGACTAGTGTTCAAATCGACAAATGAAATGTCATCGCATTCAGAGAACAACACATGAACGAATTAGAATAAGCTTACGCCCGACATCACAAATACTACTCCATATTTATTACCGTGGTTACTGATAGAAAAGTAGCCCACAGTAGAAATATGTTCTATTTTTAGATGATGGTACTTACCTAGCAACAAGTCCAGGACAAGCTTTAGTTAATTGAAACAATAAGTAAACAATAAACCACTCATCATCTATATTATCACCATAATTAGTCTGACCTTGTAAACAACCTGGTTCATCTCCTATAAAATAACAGAGTTAATCTTAGGGTCAATCAGTGGTCATATAGTCTTATATGTAAACTACTTTTACAAACAGATCTGCACATTAAAGGGACAGGTTGTCCATTCTATTTGAACAATCATACTTTAATCTCAGAAACAGTTATTTTTTAGCTAAGCCAATCGGTAAAATGTTCACAGCTCACCGTCGAAATTTGAGCCTTCAAATCCAAACGTTTGAATGTTAAGATGACATTTTAAGATACTCTGCCATGTAGAGAAAAGGCATATATAGAAATAGTGAGTAAAATTCCTAGTTCAAGATAATGTTGAATGAATTATGCAATTTTCGTAATGTCCAGTACTGCTGACGAGTATTAACATATTTTCCAGACTCGAATCAACCCCCCAAAATGGTGCCCTGTCCCTTTAAAGATACAGAAAACTTTGTCATGATATTTATAGTTAAACATCATAAGTCTGCATCTGAAATTGTAGATTCATGTGAAGACAAATTTTTGGAATGCATTATTTTGAAACATTTGAAATAGAGCCTTATCAGCTAGCAATGCATACCCTTACAAAACTATCCTCCTAAGAGTTATCTAATATTGAACAGTGTTATTTCCTCAAAAAACAGTATAGATTGATCTCAACTTCCTTAAATCAAATATATCATAGATAAAAACAAACTCCAACTGAAGTAATTGTTTATAACTGATATTTCAGTAATTTCTCTACAGCGGAACACTGTGACCTATCATATAAACAAGTGTACCACTTCCATTTAATTTCTAGGTAACACAATTATTCATAGTGTGACAACTGACAAATATACGAGCCTAGACAAAATCAGATTAATTTTTAAAAAGTCAATAACAAAGAGGTTCTTTTTACAATTATAAAGCTTACTCCCTCAGTTGATATTTTTGTTATATCAAAAAAATTCAAGAAGTTTTCTGGTCTACCTAAGACTAATGTCTGCACAACAAGAATCGAAGTGATGTAATTTTATAGACGACATAAATGTTGCCAATACAAAGGATGGTTTTAAAGGGATTGAAAGAGTTTTTCTAAATTTTTTATGTGTATCAGGGACAGTGATAGCACCATTCTAATTTTCAGTCACACATCTGCGTTCCTGCAATTTCACAAAAAATAAACGTTTGATGACATCAATAATAGCAAAATATGCTTTATATCACATGATGCCCTTAGCTTTTAGTGAAATCATCAAACACAGATGTCTGATTGAAAATTGATATGGTAGAAATTGATGCTATCAGTGTCCCCTATAAACATAAAAAAATGTGAAAACCTCTTTACAATCCCTTTAATATCTAACTCTTTTGAGCACTAATTGCCACTGAGAGTCGAAACAGGACTGTCCTTTTAATAATCAATTTGTATTTTCGTAAATGTCAAACTATATATAAATAATTGATTCAATATATCAAATTGACATAGTAGCTGAAGGTTACTTGATTTTTGCTCTCAAGGTGATGACCTTATCTCTACATATTAATGTTATTGTTTAAACAAGTTTTAAGGCACCATAAACTGAAATGGCGTCAATGGGATTTGTTCTTCCAATATACAACAAAGCCTTGAAAACTGAATATTCTGCTGAATTTTTTTCAAAAATAACAATTTTTTGAAAAAGTTATAATATAACCAAATGAAGTTAGTTCATAATACAAGGGGTACTCTGTCTACAAAAAATATTGAAAAAAATACTAGACTACACAATATTAATAAAAAAAATCAATATCTTGTTGGCCCTAGGGAGACAAGAGACAGCTACATTTGGTAATTAATTTTATTTGTTGTATAGGACATGGAAAAATGCACATATATCATGACAATGTTAAATTATCATGTGCCGGCATATGAAACTATGTCTTTCTAAATTTCATAATAGAAATAGCCAAAAACCGTTAACACTATGCCCTACATGATCGGTCGATTCTTTAAGAAACATCATGTACAAGTATTTTTTATTGGCTGCATATATATACTTAGTTCTATGTGTCTATTTGTAAATAGAATCCCTAAACATTTTACTTCCAATTAGGCTTTCTCAGCAGAAATACATTATAATTCAAACATTTTTATTACACCAAAATAGCTAGAGTATCGTACTATTAGCTATTTACACCTGTAATCTTACATGTACCACAAAACATAATGCAGGTTACATATTTGTATCTTCTGACCCTGAGCCAGGGAACAAGTAGATAATGAAGTCATCCAATTACATTCACTGGTGTTTTGCCAAAACTTCTTAGTATAACATATGTTTTAGGTGCATTTTTAACAAATACCATCCATAACAGGTGCAGTTCAAACTATTTGCCAAGTTTTTTAAACCTAAATTTATTTAAAACGTATAAACTTAAAACTGATGAACAAAGACAATATAAACAAAACAATAAGCTTATCCTTAAAAAGGGATTGTTTAAAATTTTGTTGGGGGCACTGATAGCATCAATAAGTATCATTACAATTTTCAATCAGGTCTATTTTATTAGAAATGCTGGAACCACAGAAGTCTGATTGAAGATTGAAAATTGTAATAGTGCATATTGACACTATCAGTGTCCCCGATACACATACACAATTTTGAAATTTCTTTACAATACCTTTAGGATGAAGAAAACAAAAGTGACAAAAAAAGGATAACCAGCATTTTAACAAAAGAATTGTTAAAATTTAATATGGTGAAAAAATAAATTAAATAAAAATTCATTTATTATAGATGCTCTCATGAAAATATGGCCAAAGTTGTTAGATGACATCAAATTTGAATTTGAACCAATTCAATAAGGAAAGTTTTAAGGAAAGTCATCAGACAGATTATCTAGATTAAGCTAGGCCTAACAATCCTAAGATGATGTCATGGTCTCACTAGTGAGACACCACTAGAGCCACATACCAATAATGACATCAGATTTAAATAAAACGGTGCACAAGACTTGATAAAAAATAATGATCAATACAGGTTGTTTACAAACAGTTTGAAATTCAAAACACCAAAGTGGGTCAGTGGAACAAGTCAGAGGACATTATTATTCATAATATGTCATCAAAATATAAATGCCATTTAATATCATGTTTAGTTGAGGGCAATAAGTCAAATTCAATAGAGAATAATTTTCATATTGGCCTACTACAAATAGACAAACTAGCATATTGTACAACAATGTGATATTTTTAGTCTAGACTAGCTTTTTAAATGACATTAATATGATTGGTGACCATTTTACCCTCCAATAGATCTAAATACAGCTAAGTTATCCAAATATGATGGATATGATTATTGCCTCTTATCTGACAAGACTCATTCGAATGGATATAAATCATCATTTAATTCATATAAAACAAACATTGAAATCTGTGACAAATTCATGTTGTGACTCATTTCAATAAGGTACATATGACATAACACTCCTTTCTATCATGCAGATTATCCAAAAACACTAAGATTTATAAATCAGAAAATCAGAAAATGATTCCATACCTTTTCCCAAGACAGCATGCAACTCAAATGGATCTTTCTGCCACAAGTAATTTATTATTTCTGGACTCAGCTGTGTTAAATAAACTTCTAACAGGTCATCGAGAAGTATCTTCAGATGTTCTTTTTCCAAATCTCCTGGAAGTGGGGGATAAATGGTGTATTCCACGACATCTTCAGGAACTTTCTTAGTAAATTCTGCCATTCTCAAAACGTTATACTTTCACACTGGCCTACATTAGCAGAGTCCCGTTTATCAAGACCTAGATTTATTTTTTTTGACATGAAGCGTCTGGTTAATAGAGATCGAAATCATTTTCTGAATTTTAGCCAATCAGAATCTCAAATCTTAGTCATCACCTACACAGTCATGTGATCGGAAGTAAAGCAGTCGAAAAGAAATTGTGTTTTTATTTATAAAAAAAATTAAATCTGAAATTCCTTAAAATGTTGAAGCCTAAGGTACTGACCCAGGTGCTTAGTCAAGCAAACACTGGTGGCGTCGGCAGTACATTGTAAGTTTGAAATCAAAGCCTTTCACAAACAGTAGAGACTGGTGTAAGTGGTGAAGAAAAAAAAGGAAGATTTAGGCCTATTATAATTTTCTGCAATTTTCCTCCCCCCTCTCAACTTCAAGACTCTCTCTCTGCCCTGCACAGTTTATTCACCCGTTTTAATTGTCTTTACATTGTCCTGGACCTGACCTGAATCTGTTTTTATGTGTCATTCTTCTGGAGCTGTTTTGTCTTCTCCATGCTTATTTATTTGTGTGTGGAATAATGATATATTCAGCAGACAATCACAAAAGTCACTGGATGTCTTGCAAAAGGGCCCAGGCATGAAAATCCATTAGAAATTTTGTCTCCGTCAGAATGTCATACTTAAAGCATTTATTTTCCTTGTAGATTATTAAATAACGAAGGAGCATTGTTGGCTTATTCTGGATATGGTGATAAAGATGCCTCTGTTGTTTCAGCCATAGCTAGTAATATATGGATTGCTTATACTAAAGCTGGCACACAAGGTTTAGGAGACCCCAATCTAAATTGTATTTTAACAGAATGTAATGTAAGTATGATTGATGACAATGTTAAACCTATTTCTGGTTTTGTAGAAGTTAATATGTTCAAATATTATAACATAGAATGGACTGAAGGGTACCAATTCTTGTTATTATATTATCGTAATGCATTTTTAATATTCATTCACATATTTAAAAAAATTGGAAAACTTTGTTGGTCTCTTTGCTTCAATGGTGTACTTGGAAATCATGTTTAAAACTGTTCTCTCTTTTCAGGAAGGTAAACTTGGTATAACTAAAGTTGCAAATTTATTATTATGCATGTGTACAAAAGAAAGTGTTGGATTTGGAATGCTAAAAGCTAAGGTAAAGTTCATTAGAATTAGTATATTGCAGTTATTTATTTGTAAATGCTGCTCATGCTCAATTTGACTACCAATAGTTACAGATATAATTAATGGCCTTCTTTGATGTGACTTTTACTGATACCAAACACCAACTTGAAAAATGAAATTGGTGAAAACCATTAAATTCTCAGGCTTTATCCTTCCCATTAAGCATTCAAAATCATGTTTGGAATTGGATTCTTAATACCAGGCATAAAATTATTGGCAAAATTTTGAGCTCATTTGCAGATCCATACACTATCTTTTTCAGCTTGCAGCATTGGCAGAATATTTACAAGATCCTTTATCTCAAGTAGCATCGTCCTGATAAACACCTTACCAGACCTTTAAATGGTGCTGATTTCTGTAGTTCTTATCATGTGAATTATATAGACATTAAGAAGATTTTGTCGATACCTTTTACACCCACTATACTGAATTTGTAAAGACTATTGCAGCTTTTGTAGGATTATGGACTTCATATTTATAAAGATAGTCGTCTTATTTTGTCTTTAAGAAGTCTACTGTGGTCTTTTGTATACTAGTGACATAATGTTATTGTCTGACTAAACAGTCTTTGTAAAGACTATCAATTAAACATCTTTAGCTTATAGTATATATGAATGTTTTCAAAATGGATATTGATTTTTTGAATCACATTGAAAGAATATGTATATATTCCCCCCATCTGGTAAAACAAAATACAACTCAAACTATTCAGTTCAATTTATTTTGTTGTTTACTTCACACATTCTAGATAAGGCTTTCATTTGTATTAAATAATCAATAATATTGATATGATCACCTAGTATATCAAAAATATTGGATTAAAATTTGAGATGTAAGAAATTATTTCATCAATTCAACAATTAACTTCTTTGTGAATGACATACATTATATTGTTTGTTAATAAACTTTGTTATCATAAACTTGTTCCTTAGCTGAGTGACTTTGGTATCTTCAACATCTGCTTCAAACCAACAACATGGTTTTTTTAGTCAGCCTTTGCGAGGTCCTGAGTTCAGACTCTAAGGAAACATCCTTTGACAATACCAGAAAGCATATCAGTATCTCCAGACATAGCTGTAAGGAACAGGATTACAATTTAACACATTAACTTGTTTTTCGCTATGAAATTGTAAAATAACAACAAATTTATGAATAAAATTCATAGATGAACAGTTTAAGGTTTCACTCAGATAATGCTGGAAAATACATCAAATTAAATTAACGGAGTTTTACATCCTGCTGATAACGCTGTCTGCAAGTAGCATTTGCCTACACTTTATTTTTACAACGGTCATGAAATCTTTAACATGAAAGCCTGGTACTCCCATCCCAATGACTAGACAGTATTCCCATGTAAGCCTCACATGGTCAAAAAATCAATTCTGGTTCTATAGGATGTATATCTCAAGTTTCCTTGCTGTCTTGAGCACTTCATTGTTACTCCAGTTTTTATTTTTCACTTTGATTCTTTCTTAATATTTGATAAGGATGTTCAGGTTGGTCAATATTAGTCCTATGTAACCATCCTTTATAATATTTCATGAAATGTTCAAAGCCAGTCTGCAAACTTTGTAAATTTGAATCTTTTTCACCACTTAAACTTTCATTTTCCTACAATGTAAAAAGCATTTCTTCAAGTGTTATGTCTTACTCTTCTGCACCTAATGGAGCTAATGAAGTATGCAATGAGGTCTAATCTTTTCCAATTTCCAACTGTCGAGAACTTTTAGCATGAAAACACAGCCTCAGTTTATTGTCCCATCTGGACAACTTTCTACATGCCAGTCCCTCTAGCCTGCATCACTGAGGGAAATCTGGTTGAACAATCTTACGGTACTAAGCATTTCTAGAAAAACACCCAATCAAGTCTGTATTAAGATTTAAGCTACTAAGAAATAATGTGGTGAATAGCTTCTCCTGTTGTATAAGTTTAAGTTATATTTTGATGACAGTATTGTTTGCAAGCAGTTATAAGTTGAGTAGGTGGGAATGCTGGGGAATCATGCCAAGATTCAGTATGTATTGGGATACAAGGGGAACCATACATTTCTCAGATTCAGAGCTTAAATTATTGTAATAATTCAAAATTTTCAGGTAATAATTTATTGTTTCTAGACTAAGTTTCCTTGCTGTCACATTCACAAATCAACTTTCTACTTTTGATTTCATCATTATTCAAAAACTAAATATTTGCACTGTGGGTAAGTGCGTTTCACCATTGAGCTGCAGGCACATGAGGAGACAAAATATCTCCAGTCAGTTGTTTTCCATCTTGTCGAAAATCACATGCCAATCATGCAATACAAAGGAAAAATGAATCTGATTGGATGCTGATGCTCTGTCTTGCAGACAATAAAACAATCAACGACAAATCATGTGCAATGTTAGTAATCATGTAACTCAAGATTGGAGTTGGGGTTGATTGTTCGTGTACCCAAACCCTTAGCTTTGTGTTTCCAACTTGTAAAGAATGCAGTGCCCTACTTACCAGCTTGACAAGAAGTTGTTTTCCTTTCTCAATATATTTTTCAATGTTCATAATCAATGCTGTATCTGGTTTTAGGTCTAATTCTTCCATTTTGATCAACAACTGAGTTTTATAATAAAAATTCATTCCACTGGATCTTAATAGGTTAGAAAATACTTCCATTGTTGGCTCACTGTCTAGATCCTAAAACAAAACAATTTGTAGATTGGGATATGGTTTAACCTATAAGATATGCTACCAATCAGAGGCATTTGCCACCTAGAAAGGATGTACGCTCACTTCATTTTTCAACAAATTCAAAAAGATTTTAACAGGTTTGAAATTTTAAAAGGACAGATGGTTTGGGGAGTTAAAATTTTAATTTCAAACACTTTATAGTGCTCAATTTGTGGAAAATTTGTTGAACTGTGCCTTAATAAGCAATCAGAATGAAATACCTCTATATCTTTCAACAATTGTAAACCATCTTTTAACTGATAACATGTTAAGGCTAAATTTGTTAATGTTTCCATATTGGGTTGAAGATGATTATCTGTCATAAGTTGTAGTACAGTCTGAAAAATAAGCAGCACTATTTTGACATAAGCATAACATATTTTCACTGGTTTGTAATAATGCAATTCATAATGTGCTTGTAGGGTTATCAAATGCAAACTTATATAATTACAGTATGCATATTACAATTACATCACTGGCATTTTCTTGTCAAGTAGAGGACTCTAAAAACGCTACAATGGTCCTCATACCAGAGTGATCACCAGTTGTATATGGTGTGAATAAGAATAGCAGTGATAAGTTTTGCAACTGAGTTATGAGAGTTGCGTTTGAAACTCGTGGCCATATGCAACTGGTTATCACTATGGTGTGAGGACATGTAACTTACCCTTGCATTATCATTGTCACAACGTAATGCTCTTCTTCTAATCAAACTATTACAAAATTCTTGATCAGGCCTCACTTTTTGGTCTTTCATTATTTCTAACAAATTATCTTCTGCTTCTAATGTGTGTTCACTACAATCTAATAGCAGTGAAAATATCCTGATGTCTGGTTGAACTTGATTACTTTTCATATGATGCAAAACTGCGTCTGCTCCTCCAAATAGGACCAACTTGTTTGCACGTTTTGTGAAATCAATTGTGGAAAGCAATTCATCTACATCTATATGTTTTTCAATTAATAAATTTGGCGAATTCTCACTTGGGACTAATGATTTTTCTCCAGAACTTTCTAATACTTCAGAAGGATTTTCTGATTCTTCAATGAAAGTATCGGATTTCTCTGAGTTTGATAACTGAAATTCAAAATGGCTGTCACGCACAGCTTTTAGCATAAAGTTGTAAACAATCCCACTTGGTTTGACACCCATGTCTTGCATTTTTTGCCATACCTACAAATAGAGTTGAATTTACACTTGAAATTGAATTATACCAAGGAAACAAAATTATGCTTCAAAATACTCTTTCTATATCAATATATTTTTTTGACCTACTTGGAATTCCAAAGCATTTTCCTTGATGATGGTGAATATTTGAAACAGCATGTCAACAGCATAAAATAAGCTCTTACAATAAGTGCTTCTGCCCTAGTTTAGCCTATGAAGATTGTACATTTTACTGCAGTAGAAATAACTCCTGATTACCTATATTTAATAGGTTTTGAACACTGAATGTAAATGAAATAAACATCATATACACAAAACTCTCAAGTTAAATAAAGAAAAAAAGTATGGCGTAAATGTTATGTAAAGTCACTTGGTAATGGGTATGGGTTCACTTTGGCAGCATTAAACACAATACCAAATACATAATACCATAAGAGCCAATTTGAATCCTTTCTGTTGGTCTATTATACAAACAGACAATAATGTACTGAAGCAACTTGATTCTAGTTCATCTGGATATCTCACACAAATATCATCCATTATCTCAAAACAGGTCTGCAAATCACCACATTTACCAAATGCCTTCAAATGAGAAAACAAACCTGACATGGAATATATGCAAGTTTAAATTTGTTTTAGAAAAAGGAACGATAGGGACATAAGTTAAAACATGTTCATCTGACAAAAATATATCAAAAAGGCTCAGCATCAATATCATAAAGATTTGATAAAAATCAATGAAAAAATAAGTAAATCAGCATATGAAATTTAATACTAGACCAAAAAGACTTTTTCTGTTTAATTTTATCAAAATAAAATTGTGATGAGCAAATACTTTATCGATCTTTTGTATTTCTATATATTACCTTTATCATAGCAGTAGATGTTTTATAATTCGGAATCCAATCTTTTTCTTTCATAGTTACCCTCAGTTTCACAGCTCTCTGTAAACCCTCTTCTTGCCATGGTGAATTAGCACAAGCATTGAATAAAGCTGAATAAACATAAGCATTGGCATAATAGCCCATTTTCTTCATCTGTAAAATATGGGATCGCAAAAATGAAATGTCTCCTTACATGTTCTTCATATAAACAACTAAGAGATTTGAATGATAGGGGTCAGATATTTCCACATTGCATACTGCTTGTCATCTTCACAATGTCAAGCTATTATAAACTACATCTTAAACCTTGACTGCAATAGCACCATTGGATTGTACGCTTCCAAATATAACAAATCAGAGCCCTCTACAAAAGGTTGTATATCAGAAGCCATAATGTTTACATTATTAACAATACGGGCCCTGATTGAATGTATTCCCTGGAGTAAAATCCAATCAAATTGCTGCATTCTATGATACAGGGAAGGTGGCTATTGCAGTCAAGGTATTAGACAGAGGTATTAGATGCAGTTGGTAATAACTTGACATTGTGAAAATGATTGCCAGTTGGTCAAGAACTGTTTCTAAGAATAGCAGAGTGATCAAATTCAAACTTCAAATCTTCATTTTATGATTACATATATTATACACGGTTTCAATAATATTAGCTGAAACTGGGGCGTATGGGAAGAAAATGCAACAATAATATACGTCCAGTCCTCACGGAGAATATAACATATGGTTCTATGACATTAAATCAAATACCGGTAGTGTTCTTTTGCTTTGCTTATTCAGAAAGAAATTATTAGAAATTTCTCTGATTTACCTTGTTATATATCTGGAAAGCTTTTTCAGTCAGACCAGCTTTAGCTAATATATTGATTAAGACAGAGAATGTATAATAATCTGGTAGCACTCGATCTCTTTCTAACATCCATTTCTCAAATACATCAACAGCTTCTTTAATCTACAAGATAGACTCTAGATTATAAGAAACAGAATCACAGGTCAAAATTTGCTCACATAGACACTAACTTAGTTTTATGGTTCATACTCTTTGCTTTGTGAATATGAATTATAGTTTATTGGATTAAGATGAAACTGTTAAAACTGTTTGGAGAGAGACATAAATAAGATGTAAGCATCCAAACATAGACTAGAAGACCTCTTTCTGATCCTTTTAATGATTCTTAAAGCTCTTGAAGAATTCATCACTAACATGCTACAGACACCTGAAGATAATCTTTCACATGGAAAAATGGGATAACATGGTTGAAGGAATATAAATTAAACGGTACCTGTCCTTTCTTTGCCAGTTTTTTCATTTGTAAAGCATACCAGACGGGCACATTTTTCCTTTCAGTAGCTGACAATCTTCTGTGTGGTTTCACAAACTCTTCATATCTAAAATAAATCACAGGGTTCATACAGCACTTTGCCTCAAAAATCCAAATACTTTTCAAGGACTCTGGGCTTTGAAATTCAAGGACTTTTCAATGATATTAGTCTGACAGAATACACATGTACCTAACTTCTGAACTATGAAATCAATAAAGATAGTTAATATTTGTCAATGGGGTTAATGATAGAAATATACACAATTTGACTCAACTCAAAATTCAAGGGCTTTTCAAGAGAAAATGGGGTTTTTATGGTGTTTTCAAAGACTTTTTTTTATAGCAAGGTTTTTCAAGGCAACGGACGGAATTCAAGGGTTTTTCAAGGCTGTGCGAACCCTGAATCAATAGACAATGGTATTTTCAATAAGTTATTATTCAGACTAAAATACATTAGTTTTGCTATGGTGGACACTACTTGTCACCTGAGGCAACCCACAGAAAATATTTCTCTGAACAGATCCCGGAGATTATGAGATTCAGTCATATAGTTTTGGCACCAGGTAAGTCCACTGATGCACAAAGGTTCATTTTGGCCAGACGAAGTTAGAAAATTTCAATTTTTTGGAGGTGGTATACCTTGAAAGTCAAATTTCTTCAGAAAAAAAAAGCTTACTTTTGGAAATGATTTAGAATATTTTTTCCACAAAGAATTTTCTACTTACTGGTCCTCATCACTTCTCCTGTCATGTCTCTTATCACTTAAACTTCCAAAACTTTTCTTCCATTTTCTTTTATCATCGACATCTTCCTTCCAATGGTTACCCAAATCATCACTGAAGCTGTTTAATTGTGGATCAGATTGAGACCTTCTTATAGATTTCCTTTCAGCAAACATTTCATTTCTATCAGAACTATCAATGTCTGCTTCTATATCAGAAGACAGACCATATTCTTCATTCTCTGCTGAAGATCTTGGTTGATCATATCGGACGCGTTTGTATGCTCCATCACGTTTGTAATTTCTAGTTCTTTGATTTAATGCAATTTCATCAGGATCATCAAAATCTTGTACTTGAAGTTCCTCATCGCTTTCATAATCTTCATCAACCTCTGAAACAGCTAAAGATTCCCATTCATTTTGGTGTTTATAGCTTTTGTATGAAGGTTGCATGTCCCTATAATTTTCATTATCATACCTCTTGTGTGCAGGTCTATGGTATCTTTCTGGAAACTTAACTTTCTTATAAAATGAACTACCACTTATTTCTTTATCAGTAAATTTCATCTGGACATTGGTATGAGAAAATATTTTATTGACTCTTGAATTACCTTTGGTATTATGACCTTGTTTTCTAACATAATGGTCTTTTTGGTTGAAATCATTGTCTTCCATCCAGTTTTGGTTGAAATTTTGCCTTTTCCTGCCTTCATGATTTCTGTCAAATCTGTCTTCTCTGCCTCCATACTTTCTGTCAAATCTATCTTCTCTATGTTCATAACTTCTGTCAAATACATCTTCATTTCTGTCAAATCGATCTGTTCTATTGTTATAACTTCTGTCAAATCTGCCTTCATTTCTGTCAAATCTATCTGCTCTAGGGTTATTATTTCTGTTAAATCTATCTTCTCTGTGTCCATTCTTTCTGTCAAATCTACCTTCTCTGTGTTCATAACTTCTGTCAAATCTACCTTCTCTCTGTTCATAACTTCTGTCAAATCTGCCTTCATTTCTGTCAAATCTATCTGCTCTTTGCTCATAATTTCTGTTAAATCTATCATCTCTGCCTCCATACTTTCTGTCAAATCTGCCTTCATTTCTGTCATAACTTCTGTCAAATCTGTCTTCATTTCTGTCAAATCTTCTTTCTTTGCCTTCATACTTTCTGTCAAATCTATCTTGCCTGTCTTCTATATAATTTCTATCTAATCTACCTTTATTTCTAAAATTTCTGTCATATCTAACCTCTGTATGTTCATAGCTGCCTTCAAATTGATCAATTGCATTATTTTGATCAAAGCGACCTCTAAAATTTCTCTCCATTGGATAGTTAGACTTTTCTTTGAATTGGGCTTTTTGGTTTCCTAGACTGTCTTCCTCTAAATCTAAATTATTGCCATTTGAAATTGCCTTGTCCCTTCCCCTGGATCTATTTCCAAAGGAATCCTGTTCTAAAGACTCTTTGGGAAGTTTCTCTGAAAGTTCTTGGTCAAGGGCCTTATCTTCAGGGCTTAAAACTCTGTTGTGAAGTTTTCTGGGCAAACCTCGTCTTGAAAGACTTTCAGGATCCGAGGAATCAGAATACGGAGCTCTGGCAAAATTAAACTGATGATTTAATTGGCATTGTCTGAAGATTCTATGGCTCTTGATGTATGGCAATAACTGCAATCCTTGTTTCAAAGCTCTCAAATACACTGCTGTATTTAGGTGTGCCATGTTTACTGAAAGGTAAAATACTTACTAAATCATTTTTTCTAGTCTAAATAATTGCTTACCTAGGCCTAGTTTACATATTATGAAATGCAATGAGTGTTAGCTACACTTTAAGTTTAACACACCAGAAGCCTACTCATAGCCTGTGGTAGTTACTGAAATTATCATTGTGCACCAGATAAGGATACTTATAAGCTGGCAAGGGTGTATGTACAGATAATATTACTGAAACTCATGATTGACATTAAAAAGAACTTTAATATTTTGTTTGTGGTCTGTAGCCTAATGAAAGAGTTATCTCCCATCACAGTCAATCATAAACAAGAAAGTTCCAATTCCCTGAGAAGAAAAGATGATGTTTCATGACAAGATTTCGCCCCTTATTTGTAGCTTCCTTTACCCCAAGATACCTTTTTATTTCAAACCACAGAGCATCCCTTTCCTCTTTAAAATACAATAATATTGCACATGCTTTTCTTCATGACGACTTCGTAAAATTCCATACTCATTTAGTTTGATTTCCAATCACAAAACGAAATAACTTGTAATAATGTAAAAATACACCAGCATATATATCAGGAGGGGCAATGGAATGTTTAGTTGAAGTTATGGAATAGGTAGATTGTCAGATTTTACAGTTCATTCAGTTTTATCAAGATCGGATTTTAAACTGTAGCCTCTATAGACCTATTCAAAGCGACTATGTAGGCCTACCTATCGTGTCCACAAGCCAAATTTGAAGCGTTTTTACTTAGTCAGGGGCAATAACTCCGAAACTCTTCATCCGATTATTACCAACTTTGAACTTGACCAAGATCTCATCAAAATATATGCATGCATTCCAAGTTTCATCAATTGCTACTCAGTTTCAGATCAGACAAAAAAAAAACCTGCAGCCTCTGCAGAAATGTGACGGACGGACATAGGCGACGGCGAAGAAAGTATACGGAGGGGCAATGTAAAGTATTTGGTTGCAGATAATGGAATTGGTGGGTGTTTACAGGTGATGCTCTGCAATAAAATCCGCCGAAAAATATCGGGTAATAACCCGAAAACCAAGGAAAATAGGCTACAGCTAAAATACATTGGAATCTTTCGGGCAAACCAGTCTATCCCATCCCGTCCCCTTCGGCCTATGTATCGCGCCCTTTCCCCATGTTCCTATAGCAACGATTTAATATCCTTCCCCACACTCAAGGAATGTATTTTATTAAACCTACCTGAATATGCTACCTTTACCATTTGCATAGCCTACTGTATATATTTCTATGTAGACGTATTATAATTAGGCATAATCAACCCTCTTTTGTGCCTTGAACTAATGAGAATGGCAGCTGCAAATGACATGGAACATGGTCATTTTTCTCCCTTGTATACAAATACCTTTTCAATGGAATTGTCTACCTTATGTCATGATGCCTAATAATGTTTTATACTGGTACTAGCTTGTTAGTAGGCTACATTTGTAACATAAAATTATGGCAAAATATTTTGCTGTTGTTGCATAAACTTGATACCTCTTTATGCTTTGGTGTTAAAGAATGGTTTTCAAAACTCCAATTTAATAGAAATTTTATTAATCAATATTTCAAACATAGAAATTTGTCTAAACACCAGTTCTACAAGATTCTACAAAAGACTTAGACAGTCTACTGGCATGGCAATGATCGTATAAAAAACATACTTTAAAGCATTTTCTTAAAATGATATATAAATCCAATATAAATCCAATGACAAAGAAGCTGTCGTAAAAATCAGTTTGATTTATCAAGTGTGAAAACATTGGTTAAATTCACGCAACCCTGAACCCTTTCAACCCGAAGAAGCAATTGCAATACCTAAGCAGCGCGGTAAAGCTTCTGTTAACAAGTTGCCATCACATAACATTAACGTCGTGCGCTTTTAGTTATGTTACTTGAAGTTCAGGGTATATGACGTTTTATTTCTTTCAGGCCCTCGCAATAATTTTGAATAAAGATTTGCTTGTCTCAGGTACCCTTCTTAAATCTAGATGACCTACAAGGAATAAGACAATGAAAAAACAGATTAAAGAAAAAGCAACTTTAAGATGAAGATATCAGATTTTATTTTGAAAAGTACAAGTGACTAAATGACTAAACTATATAAAAATGTTTTTCTACCGTATCCCTTAAATCTATAAAAAAAACACACTTTAAAATGAGGAATAATGGCACATGAAAGCTTATTATAAGTTTATTAATAAGTTGTAAAATCTACTGTCTTGGCACTTTTGTGGGTATATTAAACTGTACCAATTATTGTATCTACGGACAAGGTGTAAGACAATAATTCATAAGAAAACAGAAACATTTAAAGGGACAGTGCACAGGTTTCCAAATTTTTTATGTGTATCGGGACACTGACAACATCAAATTTGCACCATTCCAATTTTCCTGCAACTCCACAAAAAAGAAGTGATTGATGATGTCACTTATCGAAAAAATCCTTTATTACATAAGGCCCTTCGTGATTAGTGACATCATCAAACACTTAGTTTAATTGGAATTTTAGGAACCACAGTCGTCTAAATGGAAATTTGAGTGGTGCGAATTAATTCTATCAATGTCCCCCTTACACATGAAAAATTTAGAAAACCTCTTTACAATCCCTTAATAAAATATTGATTATATCGAAAAAGTTTAAAAATTCACAGCAGTGCAAGTGTAAGTTCTAATTCATATAGAATTTTAAAACTTATAATGAATACATGTTAAATGTGAATAATATAATGAAACAACATTAAAAACCAAACAAAAGAGCATGAAAAAAGCTGAAAACAAAATAGAGGCAGGATTTAAAATGATTATGGATACTCAGGAACCCTTTTAATATTATGATATGAATATGGTTGATAGGCACCCCTTTTTGGGTCTTGATGCAGGTCGGAGGAGCTGACATGTTCAGATGGGAAAAAAACAGAGGCCCTGCGCGCTACAGACTGTGCACATTAAGGATCCCTCTACAGTTGGAAATCCAAAAAGAGTAAGCTTTAAAAATTACCCTCATTGTCCAATGCATGGCATTGCTGTCTTCATCAGCTCAAAAGGTTCAGAAAAGTAGGATGTAAAATCTTAATCATTTCATTTCTGTATAAGGGCTTATAAAGACTTGATGCAATTTTCAATGACATATATTATGTAACCTGTAGGCCTATAGAGAAGTACATTTTGATCAAAACTCTTAAAGAGTATTTCAATACTTAAAAAAAATCCATTTTTTGATATACTGATATGCGCATAATTAATTAGAATAACAATATCACTAGTATGTTCACAAATCAATAATAATACCGGTTAATAACTGAGCATGATCAGGCTAACTAAAGCTGCCATAAAAAGGCCGAACATAACAAAAATCATAAAATAATACACAAATTATATAATTTCACATCTAATTGACACTGTTGTACAATCATTTTTACTCAAAAGAAAATAAGGGCCCACAAAACTTTTTAAGTTGAAGATAATTTTGATCGATAGATTCTTTGTAAAATAGAGGTCCTCTACTTTATGGCTCACAAAAGAAAACTTTTATCTTTATTTCCAGAATCATTTTACAAAATTGAATGGACCTTATATTTCATACCTCCTTCATTTCAGAAAGTGGGAGGAGTCATACTTTGCTAGAACAATAATAATGATAATGGCAAGCAAATTAAACAAATGAGAAATAATCAACAAGCAACAAAAACACAACAACAAATAACAAAGCAACAGATGTATAACAATGTAAATAATGATATAAAGTGATATACTGAATCAGAATGTGAAATCAAATCACAGACAGACATCTTGGATCTCCATTCAATAACTTACAGACGAATCAACGGTCCTGCCCCTCACACCAGAGTGATCACCAGTTGCATATGGTTGGAATAAGAATAGCAGTTATAAGATTCGAACACAACTCTCACGCAACTGAGTTGAGAGTTACATTCAGAACTCATGACCACTTTCATTATTCACAACCATACACTACTGGTGTGAGGGCACCTTTATATAAATAGAAACCTTAATTAAGAATACTTTTCTAATAAAAAAAAAAATTCTCTGATAATCTTAAAAGTAAAAATATCGTTTGATTAGGGTTAAAATTAGGATTATTCAGATAAAAGGGTTAACAAGAGTTAAAAAAAAAAAGAGTTACATGACCTTAAAAAGTGTTAAGTCATGGTGGTTAAGTTTAAAAGGAAGAAATGTTTTTAACAATTTGCTCCCGTTAAGTGTGTTTGTTGTTTCTATACTAATTAGTCCCAACTCTTACTTTCCTGGTTAAAACCAGTAGATGAATGGAGGTACATTCTGTTATCTTTGAATTGAAAAAAAGCTTGAAATCTTTGAAAAGAAATAAATTTTGTTATCTATTGTATTACATTTTGTTATTTTTGAATGAAGATACATTTTGTTATTTTTGAATGAAGATACATTTTGTTATTTTTGAATGAAGATACATTTTGTTATTTTAGAATGAAGATACATTTTGTTATCTTTGAATAGAGATACATTTTGTTATCTTTGAATACAGATACATTTTGTTATCTTTGAATAGAGATACATTTTGTTATCTTTGAATAGAGATACATTTTGTTATCTTTGAATTGAAATACAGCTTGTTATCTTTGAATAGAAAAACAGCTTGAAATCTTTGAAAAGAAATAAATTTTGTTATCTATTGTATTACATTTTGTTATTTTTGAATGAAGATACATTTTGTTATTTTAGAATGAAGATACATTTTGTTATCTTTGAATAGAGATACATTTTGTTATCTTTGAATAGAGATATATTTTGTTATCTTTGATTAGAGATACATTTTGTTATCTTTGAATAGAGATACATTTTGTTATCTTTGAATTGAAATACAGCTTGTTATCTTTGAATAGAAAAACAGCTTGAAATCTTTGAAAAGAAATAAATTTTGTTATCTATTGTATTACATTTTGTTATTTTTGAATGAAGATACATTTGGTTATTTTTGAATGAAGATACATTTGGTTATCTTTGAATAGAGATACATTTTGTTATCTTTGAATGGAAATTCATCCTGACGCACACATTTTCTCATCATTGCATTAGAATATTTTTTCCAAAATTTGAAATTCTCACTTTGACAATCTTTTTTGCATACAAGTTATAAAATATTAAATTATTATGCCAATGCATCTAGAAAACTAACAGAACATTTAGACAAAGTACATGTAAATCATGTAAAATTCCAAAGTTGTTCGATTTCTTGAAAGATCTAGTATCTTATAACATAAATTAACAAAAACATAACAGTGGTCTTTCTTTCTCTGCATCTTTCCTTCCAAACTTCCAGTGAAATGAAATTCCTGCCATCTATTGGATATCTTATGAATCTGTTCACAATGGACCATTAACTATACCCCCTGGTCCTGCTAGACTGGTCTTACCACACAGATCTAGATCTATTTGTCTAGCTGCTTGTCTACCCTCTGATATGGCCCACACAACTAAAGATTGGCCCCTTCTGCAATCTGAAAAACACACAAATAAACATCATACATAATACTTGATAATATTGATATACATGTATCCTTAATGAGGTATCAAACATTTGAAGTAATGACAGTCTTTACCTTCATGGTAAGTTTTTTTTATTGCAAGAGAATCAACCATCCAATTTGTATGTGAAAACTGACAGCCCTTTTGAAAGATCGTCAATTTAACCTTTGAGGTTACATGTCTAACATCTTGAGCCATTGGGTCTGAACTGGTAGTTTGACTGTATTTCTAACATAAATTTATCAGAACAGCTTTTACTGCTGCTGTTGGTCCATTGAGGAACGTTCCAGGGGGCTGTCATTAGACCTTAACTGAAGTGGCTACATCGAATATAAAAGAATAAAAAACAGAACAAAAGTTTGGTCTAATTTTACTTAAACTGGCCAAAACTGAACAAGGTTAATATCCAAGATAAGCTAGATTTTCAAAGATATTTTAAGGTAACCTTTACTTACCCCCAGCAGCATACACTTTTGGAACACTGGTAGCATATTTGTGTTTTGGTGTTTGTAGATTACCACGTGGATCTAGATCTATAGATAACTCCTCTACAATCTTACGTTCTGGTCCCAAGAAACCCATTGCTAATAAAATCATATCACACTTGTATGTTTTTTCTGAACCTGGTACGTCTGACATCTGCCATCTACCAGCATCATCTTTCTTCCACTCCACTAATACTGTATTTACACCACAAACATTACCCTTACCATCATCTAAAAATCCCTGAGAACAAAATACCAATTGTTAATAAGTGTTAAAAAACTTGTGCCATAGTGCTAAAACAATTACTGATGTTTACTATCACAATATCAATTTTATACCTTTTGTTCAAATATATACACAAGTAGTAGTACTTAAGGTTTTTGAGAAAAAAATGCTGCCAAAGTTTTAATCTTAAAATCCAAAATAAATAACCAGTTACTAATTTTAGCTCATGTACTACTAATATGATACTCTAATTATCATCCTTTTGTTTATTCTAGTAAACAACAGCGTGCTTTGTGTACAAGATTGCATGTGTAGCCTAGTGAGCAAATCATTATGATTATTCAAAAGTGACCAATTCATTTGAAAACACTTTAAACATGTTAAAAGCTGTTTGTGTAGAACTAGTGCTTGTTATTTGTATCATAATAGGGCACTGTCTTGGACAGAAGTAAGATTCCTTTCACAACCAAAGGACAAAGGGCAAATTTAATGTGACTTATAAGTTACTAATGGAAAGTGACTTACAGTGCTCTTGATATTGAAGATTCTTGGATCACGCCCAAATTTGAGTTTCACTTCCTCATGTCCATAATCAACCCTGAATATTTTTGGCCATGTTGGCCATGGATTACTATCAGCTCTTGTTACTGGTGGTTCTGGTAAAATTTCAAATGATGTAATACTCTTGGCTCCCTGAAATATGTCAATTTGAAATTAATAGCCAAGATTTTCTTAAAGTTAATTAGTTCCATACTAAAATATAAATGCCAAAATCTTACAACCAACATTTCAAACATATCTTTGTTCATGAAAATTTGAATATGGGGAGATTTGGGCTTTTTTTTAAAAAATAAACATGAGAATACATGTGGATTGCGTACTTTATAGTTTTTAAGTTCAAAGAACAAAAAGAACCAGTGTGATGTTTGAAATCAGTAATTGCCTGTGTCACAATATGCTACATAATCGGACAAAATATAGTAAAATATAATCCTATGAGTGAATAAAATTTCATTGGGCAATTATTTCAAAACAAGGAAAGAAGATTCAAATTTCATCAAGACATACATTTTTGATTTTGGTGACTATAATAAGAACCTTATGATATCCACAACAAATTTGGACCAAAAGACCAACATATGGGACTAACAAAACCCCTATATGATTCCTAATGGCATATAAATACGATATTTGGTACATACCTGTCTTAATGATGTAGCTATACAATCACAGCCTGTATCACCTCCACCAATTATTACTATATCTTTATCTTTAGCAGCTAAATTTAACAACTCTATATCATTACCACTCTGTTTCTTCTGCCATCTTTCTAAGAAACTCATAGCAAAATGGATTCCATTCAAATTATGACCTGAAATTGAACATGTGTAACATATTGGTTTTAAATTAGGCCTGTGATTCTCAAATCCCTGCATAGGTGGAGACAGTGTTATTTGATTTCCAAATCCTCCTGTGGGGCCAACATCGAAGATCAATTAAGGGTTTGCTAAAATTAGTGTGTTGACAAAGTTCCCCTAATTGCACACAATTTCATCTGTCTCATGTACTAAATTAAAGAAAATAGAATTAATGCACTAGTTAAAAAATGTCAACATCTAAAAAGGCATACCTGGTATAGGTAATCCTCTTGGCCAAGTAGCACCCAATGTTAACAAAACAGCATCATTATCTTTGAGTAGATCTCCTGCTGGTACAGTGACACCAATTTCAGTATTGGTCTTAAATTCAATACCTTCTTTAGCTAGGATATCTACACGACGTTGAACAACCTACAATACAATAATTAGTTTCAATCACTGAGTACATTAACAAAGTAGATTCACAAAAGTTTCGAGACGAACCCATTTCTCAAGCCAGCAATATTTTGGCTTCTATTACCTTTCCAAATTCAAATGGCAGGAAAAACCAGGTAACAAGACCTGCTATCCATAAACTCATAGGTTTACTTTGCCATTTGTTTGGGCAACACAGGAAAATGTTTCTATAGCTGTCAGAATCCAATTTCAAAGGTGTATTTTCTGTTTACAAGATAAGCAAACTTACATCTTTGCCTAGTTTCATTGTTGGTATACCATATCTTAATAAACCACCAATACGGTCATTTCTTTCATATACTGTTACTAAATGTCCAGCCTGGAAAATTTATGGAATTAGATTTTTTACATATTATTCATTTGAATAAAAACGGAAGGAATATTTGCCAGAAAGGAGCACGAAAACAACACCACAGAAAACTACTGTTTTGACTCAGCAATGTACATACACTTTCTGAAAGGGATACTGAGTTCACAAACCCAATTGAGCAGTGAACATGTTCGATTTTACAAACATATTTTTTTACAATATTCTATGTTTAAATAGCAACAATGGCAAATCAAGTCCATGTCCGGAAAGAATTATATTTTGTCAAAAGTCAATAACATGTAACCATGACAACACAAAATGGCTGCTGTTATTGAACCTTACCTTATTCAACTGTGCAGCAGCAGCTAAGCCAGATGGTCCACTACCAACAACAGCTATTTTTTTACCAGTTCGTTCTTTAGGTGGTCTAGGTACAATCCAACCATTTTCAAAGCCAGTATCAATAATTGTGTTCTCTATATTCTTTATGGTGACTGCTGGACTGTTAATACCTAATACACACGCACCCTGAAATTTAAGATGTTCATACATTATAATAAGGATTCTGACAAACTTGTAAAATAAAAACAAAGCATTAAATGACGTCCCTAAAGCAAAGGGTCTAATATCAGCAGATTTTGCAATAATGAAATCATAAAATGTTTTATTTGAATTACAGGAGTCACAGACATCAGACTTCAAATTGGAATGGTGCAAATTGATGCTATCAGTATTCCAGATACACATACAAGTTTGGGTGAAACCATTGCAAACCAAAAGTTGAGAATTAGTTAAACCATTAATGTCTTACCTCACACGGAGCAGGGCAGACGCGACCAGTGAATTCTGGGAAATTATTTGTCTGCTCAAGTTGATCCAAGGCCTCTCTCCATTTGTTCTAAAATAAAGTCAAAGAAAATGATATGAAAGCAAGTTTAATAACAAAATCTTTATAGCTTTTGACTTCTACCGAAATAATCTGGATCTTTAAACTACAACTACTAAAATAAACACTAAGCTCACCTGGAAGACTAAATCATTCCATTTAGGTATAATATTACTGAGAGGACAACCATGATCAGATTGACAGAATGGTACACCACAATCCATACATCTACAATGTAATGATACAGAGTTAGATAAACAATGCAAAGTGACAGAAGATGGGATTTACATACCCGTAGATCACCCAAAGTGCAATGGGCATGTATAACATTCAACTCATTCAGAGAGTGCCTACAAACAATATATGATATCCAACCATAACCATTTACCATATTGGCCTTTGACAGATAGACTGAATGGCAATTCGAACCAATCTAAAATGCATAATCTGTGGTACACAAAATAGTTTTCATCTGTATATCTGCTAAATTCTTATTTTGAAGTCTTACAAAATGGTTTACCCCAACTCTCCCAAAAATTAGATATACCATACCTAGCAGCCTGCATCCTCAATCCTTCTTTAACTTGTTTATGGTTGAAGATTTCATTCCAATCTTTCTGACGAGAATCAGGGTCTCTGTATTGATAGGTAGCTCTGTTATATTTGACAAAACCTCTGTAAATAATAAATGGATTAAGATTTCAGTTTTAATACATTTAAGGAAATATCATTAACAGTTAAAGCTGACAGAAATGGTCCAGTGCGAGAACAAGTTTACAAGTATACTGAATTAGAGGCCCAGAGAACTCATTTCTAACAATTTTGAGCTGCTAAAAATGTATCAAAATCTATATCTTTTTGATTTTATACAAAGACATACTAAATGAATCAATCTCTGCTGAACTGGACTGAAGGTTTTGCTGGGACTTAATTCTCACTTGCCGGGCTCCAGCCCCCTCGGACTCCACCCTAACAACGGGGCTGAATATGAACCATTAAAAGAGAAATGACTAACCTAGTTTTATCAAGAGCTTTCTGTATATTTTTCTGATTCTGAGTATCATCAGGAATAGTCTCTTCAATATCCTGAACATTCTTCTCAGGTTTATCTTCAACCTCTTGTGGTTTCTGAGTTTTACTGGCTTCAGCTGCTTTCTCTTCTTCAGCAGTTTCTTTCAAAGCTCTTCTATATTCATGTGGGAAAACCTGAAGATGAAGTAAAAGATGAAAATAGGAAACATTTAACCTATATATAAGGGATTTTAAATATTTTTCTAAATTTATTATGTGTATTGGGGACACTGATAGCTTCAATTTGCACCATTCCAATTTTCAGTCAGACTTCTGTGGTTCCCGCAATTCCACTAAAACTAAGCCTCTTATGACATGGCTATCACAAAACTTTTGCAGATTTTGCAATAGTGACGACATTGTTTATACTGTTAAGCATGTTCTATAATTACAGGAATACACATTGAGAGTACTGCTTTGAAGCCTAGATTTAGAACATAATACTACTAACAGAACTTGTTTAGAACACCCCAAATGGAGTGCCGCCCTGCTTTGACCTCCAGAACATATACAGCGACTTTGGATAGTTTGGATATTTCAGATAGTTCATCAAGCTATGTCAAAACTAACATGCATAACTTTTTGTCTAAATTATACCTTGATAAAATGCTGTTTTTCTTCATTCCAGTTATTCAGAATATCTAATGCTTGTTGAGAATTGGTCTTCTCTTGGAATTCTTTGATTAAATCATGAACAAATGTCAAATCATCTTCTAATTCCAGTGGTTCCAGTGCCACTGATTCCTGATTACATCTCTGAGTGAATAATTTCAACCTGAAACATCCCAAAGGTACTTTATTTATACAGATAAATTATTTAAAGTATTTTGTTTTGTATAAAAAATATCTCCTTTATTGTCTTACAGCTAAGAAAGAAAATTGTATTTTTAAGAATTAAACCTTGGTCTGAACAGCATTATTGATGCATAACTGGCATTATTAGCATTCCTGTGTCATCATGACCTCATAATATCAATAATCAGAAGGTCAATAATAACCTTGGAGGTGGAGACAGTCTTAATTAGCATAGTAATTTTTTGTTTTACAATCTTGTCCAACCAATGTTAATTGACATAATTTGGGATAAAAATCATGCTCAGGACAGCAAGTTTCTGAGGGGTAACTTTCAGTTCAGCAGAGTAAATGAAACTTGCAAAGAAAATATATATAAATATCAACTCACTTATCATAAGTATAAGCAAGACCACCAGACATACCAGCAGCAAAATTTCTACCCGTTAATCCAAGAACCACAACCCTTCCACCAGTCATGTATTCACAACCATGATCTCCACATCCCTGTAATTTAAATAAGTTATTTAGAGGCTTTATTTTGATATGACATGGCCAACTATTATCAAATGTAATAAACTGATGACATGATAATTTTTTTGGTCATTCTTGCAATGGTATTAGTACTAAGTCCTAATTCAAAAAGCATACTCCTAATTCTGGATGTTCTAGCAACAAATGGATAATCCAGGAAAGGTCAAGGTTATTGGTCACAGAAAAGATGGTGGACAGGATTTAATATGTTAAACACTCATACTTTTAGCATGATTCACAAACCACCTCGTTAAGAGCTGAGATAAAAAAAAAAATATCCTTGTGACTCACCTCACAAACAGCTACAGCTCCAGAATTTCTCACACAGAATCTCTCAGCAGTTTGGCCCCTAAAGAAAGCTTTTCCTGAGGTAGCACCATATAAACAAACATTACCAACAATAATATTGTTTTCTGATTTAAAATCAGACGGCATATCTTTTGGCGGGAATATAATAATCTCACCACCTGACAATCCCTGCAAATAGACATTTATACATCTATATTTCTCATTTATTTCCTTAATCCCTTGAACAGCTTTCTTTTAGAACTATAACCCTTTGAACACGATTCAATTTTTAGATTTTTGTAGACTGAAAAAAAAAGTTATGTGACGTTATTTGGTAGGCTAACCGTCATTTGACTTTAAAAACAAGTCCCGAAAGTTTTGTTGCTAGTCATATACTAGTCCCATCATGAAGGAATATCTTACCTTTCCAACATAATCATTAGCATCACCTTCTAATGTAACATGTATACCTTTAGCCATGAAGGCACAGAAACTTTGTCCACCAGAACCAGTAAGATTAATAATAATACTGTTAGGGGGTAAACCAGCTTCTACATATCTCCTATAATAATTATAAATAATATATTACAATACAATACACAAAGGAATATATAAGTAGTTATCAGATGATATCTCAATTTCAGTTACCTGTAACACTTTTCAGAAATGACCTACAATTCCTGCAAAATATCAACTGTGATGACCAGATTGTTATCCATTGTCAGTGACATTTATGACGCAACCAATGACGTAATGATATTGGTACTGTAGACGGTAATATAGAAGCCAGAATGTAAATGATATCTTGGGAAAGTGACCTAAATTTCCACATCAGGTAATTGATAAGTTGCATGAGAAACAGGTGTTGGATTTTGATTTTGATAAGCGATATTTATGGCCGAATTCCAGCTATGTCTCTCAGATTTTCTAACAATGATTATAATTATTAATTTTGGCTAAAGAAGCAATTTAATATTGTGGGATTTAACATTGGGTATTATGAATGTCTACCACTGAAGGCCTATAGCTTCTTTTCTGCATTTCAAAAGAATAACCATGCAAAGGTGCAACACTTACTTTGAAACTTGCCAACTCAAGGTTGAAGCAAAAGCTCTATCTTCATTGGTGACTTTCATGTTTATGACAACACTCTTTTTTTTCCCTTCCAAAACATCCATAGCCTCAGCAATCAGTTTATTATCTAAACGCAATTCAGTACCAAAGATCTGTTTCATGCTTCCACCAACTATATTAGTGCCTGGTCTTATTTCAAGAGCATTCTTTAAGATATTGGAGAAGTCAAGGGTCTTGGCTTTAGGATTCTGAGAATCTGGACTGTATTTAACTTTATCTACTCTACCAATGGCTTCTTGTAAAGATCTGAAACCCATTTTAGCCAACAGTCCTCTGACCTCTTCTGCCAACAGGAAGAGATAGTTGACAACATATTCTGGCTTACCAGCAAATTTCTGTCTGAGAATGGGATCCTAAAATTAAGAATAATTATGCTTAGCTAATGGATCTTCATGAACTGTTGGGTATGTCATTCATATTGAACATTCTTAAATTCGACTATAATGCCTGAGTGAGCAACAAAAGTAAATAAAAATCTTTAGAAACTGTACCTGTGTTGCCACGCCAACTGGACAAGTGTTCAGATGACATTTTCTCATCATTGTACAACCAAGCGTAATCAATGGAGCTGTACTAAAACCAAATTCATCAGCTCCCAGTAGAGCAGCCATCAACACATCTTTACCTAAAATAAAAGCAGGGCCAAAATCAAATATCAAAATGTTATGTCACAAGTTTCCAATTCCTAACTTCATGTACTAAAATACAATATTGGAAAGTTAACCACCATTTTCAAATTCCCTGATAAGGATTGTATATCCAAAACAACGTCAAAAGAGGACAGTTGACCTACCTGATCTAATCTGGCCATCAGCTTGTAAGACAACTCTCGATCGTAAGTTATTTAAGACCAAAGTTTGATGTGTCTCTGAGATACCAAGTTCCCATGGTAAACCAGCATTTTTAATACCAGTCCAACTACTGGCACCAGTTCCTCCATCATGTCCAGAGATTGTGATATGTTCTGCTTTACCCTAGAAAGACAAAAATAAAATTCAAAAGTTGACTGATAAAGAAATGAAATAGCATTGTTCCTTTCTGGACAAATGCAGGAAAGAAATGCAAGGCACTGGGCAATGGAGGCAACACAAAATTAACCCTTCTTCAAAGCTGAGAACAACAATTACTTTAAGTTGAAGATGAAGCTCAAAGTTGCTCCACAGAAGCAGTGTTGTAGAGCTGAAATTACTTAGGGTATGATCACAAAAGAAAATACCCTTGTCTTGCTGCAAATTTGTTCATACATCAACATCATTATGATATGACAAGGTACAGCATTTTGATTGTATGTCTTTGGTCAGATAGATGTAGATAGACTTATTGAATATCATAATTATTTACCTTAGCTACACCAGAGGCTACAATACCAACACCCATCTCTGATACCAGTTTAACACTGATTCTAGCTTCAGGGTTAGCAGCTTTTAGATCATAGATTAACTAAAATAAACAGAAAGAAACACATTATTATGGAATGTTCTATCTGCACTACAAATCTTTCTAACAATTCATAAGAATTTTGAGGTTCAGTTTATTAACCTTTTGAACAATGATTGAGAATAAGAGAAAAACAGTATTCACACTGAATTCAAAGTAATATTATGTAACACTACTTGATAATGGCTGTACTGTTTCACCAGTTGATCCAGTATATACCACATAACTACATGACCAGCAGAGCAGCCACTAGTGGTGAACAGGGTTATAAACATGAAATAAACCATCTATCAATATGGTGCCTTCCTTAATTGTCCCTTTGAAAGAACAAGATGCTTTTCTCAAATCTAATCACAGGACTTGCATCTCAAAACAGGTTGAAAAGTCGGAAGGTATTATTACCTCCTTTTGAAAGTGAACTTACCTCAGCCAGGTCTTCTATGGAGTAAATATCATGATGAGGAGGTGGACTGATTAATCCTACACCAGGTATAGAATGTCTTGTCTTAGCTATACCTTTTGTTACCTACAAACAAGTAATTTCACAATGAAGTGTTACATAACTACACAGCATCACAATAATAACAGGGCATCACTTTAATTATATTTTGTATGGCATAAAATCAATTGCAGGCCACAATAATGTCATAATGATAACATGGTAATATTTTAACACTTCACTAAAAACTATACAGTCAAATGAAATCGAATACTTTTAAGCTGTTGTATGTACAAAAAACTACTAACAGTTCTTGCCAAATGGCTCAAGTGACATGATAATTTCAGAAAGTTTTTTCTTGAATTACATGAACCATAAATGTTGAATAGAAAGTCAGGATGATGTTTCAGTTTCCACAATACACTTAAACATACAAAGGTTATAAACTGCTTTGAAATTCTTTTATTCAAATAAGATGCTTTAGTAAAAATCACCAAAAAATGCTTGTCGAAAAACAGTCAGAAGTTTTGTGTCACTAAAAAATCATATCTTCAAGAATATCTACTGACCTTATAACCTGGTAGTTCACCTCCTTCTCCTGGTTTAGCACCTTGGGCCATTTTAATTTGTAATTCATCAGCATGTGTTAGATAGGAACTGGTCACACCAAATCTTCCTGAGGCAACCTTAAATATGAACACATTATCAAAAGTTGGTGTTAACTTTATTTTAATCAAATACAAAAGTCTTGATAGGAACTTCACACAACTTAAATAGTTAAATACAAAATAAAATGCAAATCTAAGGGACATGGATAAAGCACCTACATACACTTATATTTTGCCTCAATGAACTAAATTGTCTGCCAATTATTGGGCTTTCCAATTATGCTAATGATTACAGATTAGGGTGGTTCAAAGGAAACACAGCACTGGGTTAAAGCCAGTGTTCTGTAAGCAATTTTCAATGAACAATCTC